GTTTTAATGACCGGGCGGTCAGGTAACCTTGGTTTAATGTCTCATCGGAAAGATGACTCCTCCTACAGCGCAGTCCAGGCCTTATCACAGCAGTGGGGAGGCATTTTTGATACATCGTGAGGTGCCGTCTTAAAAACAGGGAACCGATCCTGTTTATGTGCTCTGTGGTTTTTAAAGAACAATGCAAATCTAATCCAGATGAAAGAAATCTCAGACATTTGTGAATCACCTCCCGGGGATTCCCAGTCACAGTCGGCTAATAACGTGAACCATGCCTGCACTAGTGGCATCGGGATTGTAGAGCTAAACCTTTGTGTGGAGGGTGCCACACAATCTATTTAATGTCAATTTTTAATGTGCTAGTAAACACGGTGTAATATTTGGATTTGTGTCAGTGCCTAGAATATGCTTCAAACGATGCAATATGAAACAAAAATAGGAAAACATTAATTAAAAGACTAATAAAGCATTTAACTAGCGCTGCATTGGGAAACCCCGTGTGTACGACTGCTAGTCTTAATAAAAGACAAGTTATGTATCAATATAACTTTAACCTATTTTGAGATTCTCCCATTTTACTGAGGCACCGCTCAGTAAAAACGCCAGCTCATCTGGAATATGCCGAAGCGTCTGCACCGCGCGCCGCTCACCAGCAGTTTCCCAGCAGCCCCTGCAGGATGTCGGAGGGGCGGGGCGTGCGGAAGACGGACCACTTCACGCCGCGGTCCTTGAAGTTGTTGCAGTTGATCTCGTGGGGGCGGAGCCACTTCTTGACGCGCTGCTGCACGCTGTCGCCCTCCGGGAAGCCCACGGAGCGAGGGCCGGGGGGGAAGCTGTCGTCCACAAAGTTCACGGCATTCTGGGAAGAGACCAGCACAACACCAGCGTGAGGCAGAATGCCAGCAGCCATATCGCCCTGCAACTCACAGCTGGCAGCCCACTGAAGCTCAGCAGCTGGGAGTCTGGCCAGTACCTGGATGGGAGACCTCCTGGGAAAAACTAAGGTTGCTGCTGGAAGTGGTGTTAGTGGGGCCAGTATACTGTAAAAAGTCGCCGTCCTTCAGATGAGATGTAAAACCGAGGTCCTGACTCTCTGTGGTCATTAAAAATCCCAGGGCGTTTCTCGAAAAGACTAGGGGTGTTACCTCAGCGTCTTGGCCAAATTTCCCCAAGGACTCTGTTCTCCTCCCCACTGAGAGCTGGTGTGTGGGGAGTGTACTGGCGCACTATGGCTGCCGTCACATCATCCAGGTAGGGCTGCACACTGGCGGTGGTGGAGGAGAGTCCCCATAAGTGTAAGCAATTATTATAATAATGTCAGGAGAGCTTGCTGCTAGCTGCAGCAGGGCGGGGGCGAAAGCTACATTTGCCATGTCCTATGGAAAACGGCCCGATTCCATTATCTATCTCCAAGTTAACATACACGAACGCAGCAAGGCTGGAATATCACTCCATTTTGTCCCCATGTTAGGCACATCAGCATGATGCATCCAATTAATCATTTAAATGTCACTTGCTTCAGGCCTACTCATAAGCCGTGCTTTATACTTCAAACGTTGGTGAAGTATATCTGTAAGCACCGCTGTAACCCTAAAGAGATCAGATTATAAAATCCGCGTCCACTCAGTCTAAATCCCTGATCAGCACTGCCAGACTATGACACTGCCTTATTTACACCACATACAGTACATATCAATTGGTAACAAAAAAAATGATGACTGGTATGGTGGTTTGTGTTAGGAAGGGAAACTGAAGTGTGTTACTCTGACTGAAAAGAGTGCAATACAACATCTGCCTGCACTGCCTCTCTTTTAAACTTAACTTGGCAAACAAATTGCTAAGAAACAATGCATTAATGCATCTGCATGACATTATATTCATAAGATGAAATGGAGCAATGAACCTGAAAGAGCAGTGATCTCCTCAGCTTGCATAGTGCTCCTTTCCCCCCGCGAAGAGAGACACCACAGCTCAGGAAGTCATTCTTGCTGATAATCGATGCACTTCACTGTCACGAGAGACGTTTATTATCGTTCCAACCGGAAGAAAGCAGGGGTGAAGGTCATGAATGATTGCCCTCAGTCTCTACTGTTTTCCCCAACAGAATCCCATCCTCTGCTCCTCAGTAAATTAGCTCTGCTCTGCCCTCTAAAACACTACTGAGGTCTAATATAGGACCTGTAATGAGCTTTAAATAGTGGTAAGAAGGAGTCTGTCTCTTCCTCCCTGTTTTATGTGCTCTGAGTCTGACTGTACAGACTGAGCCCAGAAAAGACTCACAGAAGAGCACAGAACTGGAAGCCCTTTGTAAACGTACAGGCCTTCAGGCCTGTGAAATGTGTGTGCCTGCTGGAGTTACAGAGCATGATGCTGCTGGGAACTGGACATGTCCTGCTTATTCAGAGCGGTAGAGCACAGAAGACAAGGGTCACGTCATCCCATCACTGCACTGCCTCACAGAGTCAGACATTTCTGTACTTCAAATTCTTCCATCTGTCCACCTTGATCAGTACTTTAATCCACAATAAGCACAGCGTATGGGGTGGTAATCTCGCTGCACAAGATCACGCACTTTTTTAAAACTTCAAATACAGGATCACTGGCACAGCCTTCAAGTACCTTTTGATTATAAAGTTGGAAAAGGTTCTAAACGCGTAAAACTGCACTGCAGACCAAAGGAACGTTGGGTCACAAACAGGAGGCCATTTTACTTATTGTGCACATTTAAAAGAGCAGCTAGTTGACGTGTAGATTTTAATGAATAGTTTAAGAGTGTTCACCATTTAAGCTTAATACATAGGTTCTTAACCTCATGTCAGTAAACCCTGGCCTCAATTTACTGAGAAGTCAAACACAGGCAAGCAGTTGATAAAATGGTCTAGACAATTAACTTGAAGTACATGAGCACTAGTACTCATGTTAACAGGTGCATGCAAGCATGAAAACTTAATTGTAGTGTTCTTTATTTAGCCGTTTGTCTGATTTCTTGCAGTTCTCTCCTTCAGTCGAACCGTTACAGTACACAAGCCTAGCTTTCATTTTTAGTCAAACAGAAAGGCTCTCAATTATGAGACGAATGCAGCAGCTGTCTGAGTCTCTGGGAGGCCTGACCTGCTTTCCCAGCACTGTGCCTGTTCTGAAGGATGTGTCCCACTCCGGCTCATTTATCGTTTGATAATGTCATCACTGCCTTGAAGCATGAGAATGCCTGGAAATAACCGCAGAAGGAAGATAAGGGGTTCCCCTCTGCAAAAGGTGTCTTTAAGGCTTCTTGTAACAAGAGGAAGAGCAGTTCCCCTGCATCTGAGCACTGACTTTTTCTGGTGCGAAAAA